TGCCGCATGTAGCCGCGTGGCACGGGGTTCGAACGAGCGAGGATTTAAAAATGGCGGCGCCCCGCTTATGCAAATGAAGCCCGGGAAATTCAAATCCCGGGCTTCATTTGCAATTGTGGTATGCCTACATTACCCCGCTAGTTCCAACTAGCAGGGTAGTGTAGACATACCCAAATAGATAAATGAATGGATGTGTATATCACCAAATTTCTCTTGTGTTGTAGGGAGGACTATTTGTACCTTAGGCAGGATAACAGTAAATGACATTATGCAACATGCTGATCATGCAGTGTCAGTAATGATTCCCATATACATGTGCAATTGTACATCTGTTTATTTTTTAGACTCAGCAATATAAAATATAAAAATATTCATTCAAAATTAAAATATAATCCTTTCTACCTTAGTAACACTACTGTATCCGATACAAATGCAACTGCTGCTCTTGGGAAACTTTTCTGCAAGTATACAGACTGAATTCTGATTATTTTAATGTTTAGATATAGGTTAACTTTGGGCTAGTTAACTTTGTTATTTTAACTTATATAATGGGTGCTTTTTGTATGTTTTGTTCAGGATAGTAAATAAAATACAATTTCTGTCTTATATTACTGACTCCTGATAATTTATATAACCAATGTCTTTTTGTTTTTTGCTTCAGAAACTGAAAAAATGGCAGTTGCTTCTACTGCCAACACCACTGCTGTTATAAAGCAGGAATCTCCAAACACTATTGTTCCTGTGGTAAATGTTCAGGAGAAAAAAAGTTCTGCAGAACCCCTAAAGATAGCTGACCAAGATGGTGTGACATCAGACCAGTTAGCAAAAATACAGGCAGCTGTTGCAATAGAAGGATGTACTGATGAGGAGAATACGGACAGTGGAGGAGAGGGCATGTACAGAGAACGTGATGAATTTGTAGTGAAGATTGAAGATATAGACTTGCTAAAGGTAATCCAAATGTCTGTTCTGAGTAATTACCAACACACACCAGGAAGCAGGCATCAAAAATTGTTCAGGACTGTGAATAAATCACCTCCCCAGAAACATACTTTACTATGACATAAACACGTGGGTTCACAGCGCTGTGTTGTTGGGAGAGCTTCTGTCACTGACATAACTTCTGCTGCTTACAGAAGTGGTTTTATTGTGCCAACAGGAGAGCTTTCTCCCTTTGGGACAGAGCATCTCCAACAGATGTGCAGCTTCAGTGTAGTTGCATTGATATAGCTGGATCACTACAGCACTGTTCATATAGATGTGCCCTTAGCTTTTTGTTTCTGGATTTTATTTATTTATTTTGGTGGAAGTTTGCAGAGTTCAAGAAAACCATATTTGTTTTCTCCATTTCTGATTCTTCTGTTTTGTCTGGTTCTTGTCCATTCCTCTACTGCTGCTCTAGCTCACAGATTTGATGATTACTTTTGCATGTTACTTTAAAAATCATTCCTAGATATCTTTATTCTTTGCCTTCCTACAGACCCTTTTGAATTCAAATTTTAAAATAAAAGGTCTTTTAATAATATGCTTGATTTGTTAGGTAAGTTATAGAATATCTAGTTTTAAAATGTCCTCAGCTTACGATGTTCGGTCTTTAATTATGTAAGGTTTTTCTCTCTTTATATGCATTTGAAAATACACCTAAGTTTTTTCTACACTTCCCTTACAAATATGAGACCCTATAGATCAATATTTTGAAGGATTTCTTGATCAGTGTTAATTACTGCAGATATGTTTAAAATATTTAAAATATGAATATTTTAAGAGGGTAACCTATTTGGCATAATTGAACTAAAAGCTGAGGGTACATCTACACTAGCCCCCTAGTTCGAACTAGGGAGGCTAATGAGGACGACTGAAATCACAAATAAAGCGCGGGATTTAAATATCCCGCACTTCATTAGCATGTTCCCGGGCAGTCGCCATTTTGGAAACTGACTAGCCCAGAATAACTGCCCGCGTCTACACACGGCAGTGAAACGGGAGTTCAGAGTAAACCCCTTAACTCGAATTAGCTGTTAAACCTCATTCCATGAGGAGTAACAGCTAATTCGAATTAGGGGGTTTACTTCGAACTCCCGTTTCACTGCCATGTGTAGACGCGGGCAGTTATTACGGGCTAGTCAGTTTCCAAAATGGCGACTGCCCGGGAACATGCTAATGAAGTGCGGGATATTTAAATCCCGCGCTTTATTGCAAATGTACTCTTCATCCAGTTTACAAGTTACTACTGAATTTTCTGTTTTCAACTTGTTTGTAACTGCAAGTATCATGCTGGAATGTCAGGTACTCTGGCAGCTCTGCTGCCACAGGGAGCTCGTCCTAGGAACTAAGCAGAGTTATTTTCTGCTATTTGTTTGAATTCTTCAGTAGTATGAAAACAGTTTTTAAAAACAAAACTGAAGGCGTAGCAGTAAACGAAACTTGGGGGAAAATGACATATTGCTGAAATAAAATGTCAGGTTTTGATGGCTTGATTGCATGGTTTAGTAGCAGTGCCATCACAGCACAGGTGGAGCTGGCCATTTCAACTTCAAGGTTCCTGAAGAAGAAATACATTTTGAGGTGGTTCTGTGCTGAATATAATTAATATCCTGATGCAGTCAGCACATAATAGTGGTGTAGTTGGAATCTGGAGCATTTGTATCCCATTTCTCTCTAAAGAAAAAAAATGAATAAACTTTGGAAGAAAAATAAGCACCATTTTTAGCTAATAAATTTTTGGTTCTTATAGCTTGCTTTACAAACAGGAAAAGAACCTCCAGCTATTTGGAAAGTACAGAAGGCATTGTTACAAAAGTTTGTTCCTGAAGTTCGAGATGGACAGAGAGAGTTTGCTGCTACTAATAGTGTAAGTATGAAGATTCCTTGTCAAACCACAGTGACTACTGGTTGTGTTCCTACTCTCATAAAAGAAAATGTCTGAGCCTGGAGTGTTAAAGGAACATAACACTGCTGTTTATTTTCATCACTAGCATGTCTGTAAAGATCTTCCTACCGCTAGGGCTAGACATTAATGATTAGTGGGCCCCTCTTTCAACAGAACTACATTAAAAATTGATGTCATTGTCTGTTTAGGGCCAGTTCCCATTTTCATTCTGGTTTGTTTGCCAATCACATCATGCAAAGGAACCAGATTCTAGTCTCAACTGCCGAGTTTGACATTCCTCCAGTGAGGAAGAGTTCTCAGCTGGGATACAGTTGGATATATATTGTCTTACTTTTCTCATTTATATGTAAAGGATATTTAAAATCCAGAGGCAAGTCCCTCCTAAATTGCAGTAGTTTTAGTGTTAGATCACTTTCATAACCAAATTGATGGTCTTTAAGGTGATATGCTGCAATGCTATTTTTTTAAATATTTACAAGTGTAAATGTTTAAACTGAATAACTCCACTTAGCAAATAAATTTAATACGAAAATCTGTGTGTTTATACTGTTTTTGTTTTGCTTTCACAGTATCTTGGATATTTTGGGGACGCAAAAATGAAATACAAACGGGTGTATGTGAAGTTCATTGAAAATGCAAACAAAAAGGAGTATGTCAGAGTGTGTTCAAAAAAACCACGAAGTAAACCTTTACAGTCTGCAAGGTATTTATTTTCAGATCACTTTTTATTTATTGTATTGTTTTAACATGAGCCCACACACGTTTTAATATTTCAGTATAATTTAAAAATGGCATTAATGTAGCATTAAGTGGAAACTTGCATTACTTGCTTTGAGCAATTACTTAAAATTTCTGCAGCAACTATTAACTCTTCCCCTTTGCTTCTGTGGATTACAATAGTTCCCATTACAGCTATAAAGGATTTGGAAGGCTACATGACTCAAATGTCTATCTTCCCTTCTTACTCAACATAGATGGAGGCCCCTAGGTGAGAGAATTTCTAAACACTTGGTAATATATATGTATGCTGCTGGAACACAATAATATGTCTCTTTCCTTGTGGATTGTGCAAGTTAAGTCTGTGCTTCCAGATTGCTTGGATGACAATGCTGTCTGACTGCCTCAAGTAGCATACTTTATTCTCAACTCTGAGAAGACAAAAGTTTTGGTCTTGGGTTGTAGAGATGGTTGTCAGAAAAATGCTTCTCCTTTTTTGTGCCACTGGTCATAGAAGGGGCATGTTCTGCAGTAGAAAGCAAACTAAAGAATTTTGTCAGCCCTTTAAATCATGTTCTAGAAAGCCATGTATCAGACTTAGTCTGAAAGTATGTCATCTGACATTTTCACAGACTTCTCCCTTATGTATGCCAACCTTGCAGCAGCAATACATCTCCTAATGCCAAGAGGTTCAATCACTCTCTTAGTAGGGCTACACGGTATATCTCAATGACTGGTAACTTGTTATAAATACGGCACTATGTTTGCAGACTGATTTGAATAATCATGAGTATTTTATGCCTCCCCTTTACGTTATTCTTTACAATGGTTGTTTATAAGGCGACCACCCTATTGGAGGGTAAAGCCTTTTATTATGTAGGCTCTGGCTATGTTTAAGACACAACATTAATCCTGAAAAATATTGAGAAGCCATTATGGCTCCCATCAGGAGTGCTTTAATGATTGAAAATCAAAAAAGAATTCTATAAAAAATGGAAAGAATGACAGATGGCTATATGTGAATACAAAAGAATAGCACAAGTATATAGGGACAAAATCAGAAAAATTGCAGAACAAAGTGAGTTACACATAGCACACAGTATAAAGGGAAAGAAGAGGTTCCATAAATATATTAAGAGAAAGATGAAGGAAGATTTAGGTCCTCTCCTTAGCAGGGAAGTAGAGCGGATAATAGCTGACAACTAATTGCTTCAGTATTCTCTAAAAAGTATAATTATAGCTAGATACTGAATGTACTTAATGTTAACAAGAAAGAGGATGGAACACAAACCAAAATAAGGAAAGAACAGGTGAAAGACTATTTAGGTTAGTTAGTTGTATTTAAGTCAACAGGGTCTGGCAGAATTCCAATTGGGGGACATAAGTAAATAGCAGAGGTGATCCCAGAATCACAGCTGAGGTAACAGAGGACTGGAAAAATGGCAAATGTAGTACTTTTTTAATGAAATGAACAAAGAAATCCTGGGGAATATTATGCCAATCAGCCTTATTGATACCTAGAAAGCTACTGGAACAAATTATTAATCAGTTTGTAAGCACCTAAGTGATAATAGGGTTGTAAGTAATAGAGCATATGGATGTGCTAAGAACAAATCATGCCAAAGCAATCTAAGTTCCTTCTCTGATAGAGTTACTAGCCTACTGGATAGGTAAGAAGTGGTGGACGTGACATATCTTGATTTTTAGCAAGGTTTTTGGCATTCCCACTTGATATTCTGATAAGAAAACTAGAGAAATGTGGTCTAGGTGAAATTATTATAAGGTAAATGCAAAACTGGTTGAAAGACTGTACTCAGGGTTATCACAGGTTTGCTGTCTAACTGGGAGGTTTATCCAATGGAGTCCTACAGGAGTCTGTCCTGGGTCTGATACTATTCAATATTTTCAGTAATAACTTTGGTACTGTCCATAAATTTTATGTGCATAATCTCCATTCCATTACCTATTGAAAGATTGCACATGCTTTGGAAGACAGGATTTTATTTCAAAAAGACCTTGATAAATTCGAGAATTAATCTGAAATCAATAACATGAAATTCAGTAAAGGCAAATGCAAAGTATTACACTTAGGATGGAAAAATCAAATGTATAAATTATACAGTGGAGAATAACTGACTCAGCAGTAGTACCGCTGTAAAGGAACTGCAGGTTATAGCATATCACAAATTGAATAGAAATCCACAATGTGATGAAGTTATGAAAAAGCAAATATAATTCTAAAGTGTATCCAAAGGGGTGTCTGTGTAAGACATCGGAGGTAATTGCCCCTCTCTGCTCAGCACTGGTGAGGCCTCAGCTGGAGTATTGTATCCAAGTCTCTGTATCATACTTTAAGGCAGATGTTCTCAAACTTTGTGATACCACGACCCCCTAAAATGCTAACTGAATTTGTGTGACCCCTCACCTTCACTGCCCTAGGTTGCTTCCCTCCCCACTTCTCACCAGACTCCTTGCCCTCCTGGGGCTACTTCAAAGCGTTTGCAGTCCTCAATGTCCTTCTCCCCCCCTGCAGGCTCCTTCCCCCAGTCTTTGTCCTCTGTGCTTCTTTTCTGCTCTGCATTCCTTTAGTTCCTCTCCTCTCCTGTGTCTCCTCTGCCTCCTCCTCTGACCCCCACGTGCCCTTATTTACCTCCGGGTCCTCTGCCCTGACCCAAACCCCCAGCCTGCTGCCTGAGGGACCCCGCTCTCTCCCACCTGCGGAAGCATTTGGCACCTGGCAACCATGCCCTGGCTGGCCCTTCACGCATCCGCTCCTGCGCTGGCCTCACTCTCCCACTGCCTTGCCTCCTCCGGCAGCTGAGCTGCGCTCCTGGAGTCCTGCGGCCCTAGCCATGCTGTGTGGCTTGCAGGGCTGCACAGCTAGCAGCTGCCTCCTCCTCCCCTTCCTTTTATCCAGCTGCCACCCCCCCGCCCCAAGTTGACAGTTTGAGAAACGCTGCTGTAAGGTGTGGGCAGATTGGAGAGAATCCAGAGGAGAGCAACACAAATGATAAAAGATTTAGGAAACCAGACCTATGAGGAAAAATTTAAACTGGACTTGTTTAGTCTTCAGAAGGGAAGACTGAGGTGGGGCAGGCTGATAGCTGCCTTCAAATATGTTAATGGTTGGTACAAATAGGACAATGATAAATTGTTGTCCACATGAACTAAAAGTAAGAAAAGAAGTATAATGGGCTTTATCTGGAGCAAGAGAAATTTAGGTTAGATATTAGGAAACCCTTTCTAACAATAAGGTTAGTTAAGTTCTGAAATAAGCTTCCAAAGGAGGTTGTGGAATAATCATTACAGGCGACCCCGCACTTATGACCTAATTGGTTCCTGGAGAACCATCGTAAGTCAAGCCGTCATAAGTCGAACCCTTATTTCCCATAGGTGCAATGTTATAAATGGCGGTTCTGTTCCTGGAAACCCATTTCATACCCTAAAAATACCAAAATTGACTACAAAAATGGAGGAAAACTAAACTAAATAGTTCAAATAATGCACAAAAATAACGAAAAGGTGAAGACCAATGTGGTGGAGAAACACACAGTTCAAGCAGCAACTGCAGACTGGCGAGTCTGACGGACCTTGTGCATTTTCTGTTTTGGGATGACGCGTGGAGTCTGCCTCGTATGTCGTCATAAATGTGAGCTGCAGATGTAAATTGGTTTTTTTTAGGAGCTATCTCACATGAAAAAAATGGTTGTAAATGTGGTGGGTCGTAAATTGGGCAGTTGTAAGTTGGGGGTCGCCTGTATAGTTTTTTAAGTACAAGTTGGACAGACACTTGTTAGGGTTGGTCTAGCTATAATTGGTTCTGGCTTACTGCAGGGGCCTGGATTATATGACCTACTATAGTCCCTTTCACCTCTAAATTTACATGATTCTGTATCTGACATCTCCTCTTTGAACTTCCTTCTTTTACTGTGATTCATCTGTCCCTGAGGTATTACACCATGTCATCAGGTAATTGTGTTTTTGTGGAGGGTTCTAGATCTGAAAATTTCCCTCTCCAGCATTGGAGTGTGATGAATGAATTTATTTATTTTCTTTCTTTATATTCAGTTTAATTCCTCTTATTATTGTTTTATAGTTTTCAGAAATGTTTTGTTTTATTTTATATTTATGTGTAAATATTGCAGGGTATTGTTCTACAGTGAGGCAAGAAAATTAATGGGGTAGTAGTGAGAGGGTAAAAAATAAAATTCTCATTCATTACATTAAACTTCACATAGGCTACGTCTATACTGGCCCCTTCTTCGGAATAGCCATGCTAATTTAGAACTTTGGAATAGGGAAATGCGTGGGGGATTTAAATAAACCTGGCCGCCGCTTTTTTTCCGGCTTGGGGAAAAGCCGGAAAAGAGCGTCCAGACTGGCGCGATCCTCCGGAATAAAGCCCTATTCCGGAGGATCTCTTATTCCTACTTGAAAGTAGGAATAAGAGATCCTCCGGAATAGGGCTTTATTCCGGAGGATCGCGCCAGTCTGGACGCTCTTTTCCGGCTTTTCCCCAAGCCGGAAAAAAAGCGGCGGCCAGGTTTATTTAAATCCCCCACGCATTTCCCTATTCCAAAGTTCTAAATTAGCATGGCTATTCCGAAGAAGGGGCCAGTGTAGACACAGACATAGTGTTTATGCAGGAATATAAAATGTTGCATATTCATATGTGGTTGCAAAAAGTAGAGTTCATCTCTATTGTATTCCTACCACAAACTATTGATTCATATTTTGTCAAAGGGATTATAGAATTTCCATCAGATATTAAAGATTAGTAAGACTATCAATATCTTTGTTACATAGTGATTGGAATACACCTGTAACTGTCCAATACTTGCATGACTTGCCATATAACCTTGGACAAAAGAGTTTACCATGTGCAAAAAAAAAATAGTGCCAGCTGTTGAGGATTAATTACTGAATAACAGCACTTCAAAGATATAAAACTTTGTGCTAAGTGTTAATTAAAATGATCATAATAGAGTGCAATTGAATATATTTACATGACACTCAAAAAGTATCGTAATTCTTTTTATGAAATTAAGATATGTGAGTTTATTTAGATGACTTACAAAACTGCCTATGATAATATTGCAGAGCCATTCATTATAAACCAAGCAATTGCACCAGCAAAGCTCCTGACCCTGCAGCACCAAAATCTACAACAACAAAAGTCTCTTCTGTGAAACCCAAAGCTAAACAGCCAAAAATAAAGGCCGAACCACCACCAAAGAAACGGAAGAAATGGAAAGAAGAGTTTTCATCTTCCCAGTCAGATTCTTCTCCTGAAGCACAGAGTGATGAAGATGGTGAGTGGTGCTCTGTTATCAGTCTTAATATTTGTTTTTAACTGAATTTAAACAGGAATCATAAATATATATAATATGTAGTCTATCATAAATGTTGTGTGATCTTGCAATAATCCCTTAGAAGGCAGCTGTGCAAAACTATCATGAAAGTTTAACAGCTCCATAAAAAGTTTATTCTCCCAGCCGTTATCAGTGATTTAACATTATTAAAAATCTGATATTTTACCCTCCCTTTGGGATTGGACAGATTGTGCAAGATTGCTTCAGAATGCAGTTCCATGTTAAACAATAACATAACTGTAGCAGAACATTTCCTTATGTGTACTCAGAGTCATATTTGCTTAGCCGAATGAGAGAAATACATTTTTAATACTTGGTTTAAGGTACGCAACTCCCGCTATGTAGAATAAGTAGCTGGAGTCAGCTTACCTTAAGCCGAGCTTGGTGCCATCCCATCAGCTTCCCTTACTCCTCGCGACTGCCAGGAGTACAAATGCCAGCCAGAGCTGCTCTCAGCATTCGAATTTATGGGTCTATACTAGACTCGCTAAATCGAATGCCAGAATGTCGATCTCTGGTGTAGTGAGTGAAGACCTGCCCTTAGCACCTTTCAGTCCTGCAAAGCAAGGGGGCGTCTATTGCAGAAGTTGATTTTGGATCATGCTTCCTTAACAGAATTGCTTAGAAATTTCCAATTAGAGTGACTTATTGTGTTCCCAGCCACATCAGTGACTGCGCTGTCAGGTTATTGGAGTAAAGACTACTTGGGTGATAATAATCACCCATGGCAACTTGGAAACCTGACACAATGGTGCAGTATCACTATAATTTGCCGCAAACTAGGTAACATTGCCTGCTGGAGCCAGGAAAGTCCCTTAAGAAACTGAGCAAACGCTAAATTTAGAATGTTAATGACTTCTGTGTAGAAAACTTTAGAAACATCTTGGAAAGTGACTGTGGCTATACATATCTGTGTTTGCTAATGTAATTGGTTATACATAGTTTCATGAGCTCATGAAAACATGACACTGACTTTCTGTGGTAACTTATGAAGCTTAGTGACTTTGCTGGTTTTGAACATTTTACCCCTTGAGTCATCTGAATTAGTTGGTCTCAAGGAATGTCTAAGTTCCCACTGGAAATTAGTGTTTAGTCTTGTTCACCTGTTGGGAATATTTCATCATCCCTTTTCTCCAGATCATTGTCTGGCTTAGTTTTAGAAGGCTCCTATAACCAGAGTATCTAAATTCTGATAATGCAAATAATTGTTCATTTTATGGGTATGTCTACATAGCAAAGTTATTTCAAAATAACTGCCCTTATTTCAAAATAACTTTCCTACCGTCTACACAGCCAAACCGTTATTTCGAAATAAATTCAAAATAGCGGAGCATTTATTTTGAATTTGGTAAACTTCATTCTACGAGGAATAACGCCAAATTCAAAATAGCTATTTCGAAATAAGTGCTGTGTAGACACTTATTTTGAAATAGGGGACCTCCAGCCTCAACCAAGAACACTTCTCTCCCTCCCCCACTCCCTGGAGTCCTTCAAGGGGTAAACTCTGGCCACAGTGCCTGTGTCAGCTCCAACCCTGCCAACCCAGAGCCAGCAGTCACTGCCCCGACCCAGTGGCCCCAAAACGTGAGCCAGCAAGCCACTGGCAGCCAGGCTTCCACCGATCCCCAGGAGCAGTCTGCCAGCTCCCAGGAGCCTGCTAGGGCCTAGAGAAGGCAGGCACCTTCGTGGTCCAGGGTGGAGATCGTGCACCTTATTCAGATTTGGGTGGGGGGATGCCCCCAACGTCCAAGATCCCTGCACTAGACAGAGGAACGCGGCCATCTATGGCAGGATAGCTACCAGCCTGGCCATCAAAGGCCACATGCGAACCCAGGAGCTGATTTGCATGAAAATCAAGTTGGTCTGGTGAGACTGTTGGGATTATTTTCTCCAATGTTTTCCATTACTGTACATTTATCAGCATTACATTTCATTTGCTATTTTGTTGCCAAATCACTTAGTTTGGTGAGGTCTTTCTGAAGCTCTTCACAGTCTGCTTTGGTCTTAACTATCTTGAGCAGTTTAGTATTATCTGCAAATTTTGCCACCTCACTGTTTACCTCTTTCTCTAGATCAGTGGTTTCCAAACTTTTTGGCATCACGCCCCCTTTTTGATTTTTGAGAACACCGAAAAGAGTTTGTGTTAATGAAAATACATGTTGAGCAAAAAAAAAAAAAGAAATCAAAAGGGGAAAAATGTTCCAGCACAGGGATTGCAAGCTGAACCAACTGATGAATTTTGAATGTGAATAGTAACCATTAGGTGTGGTTACAGTAAGCATGTGTGTTTTGTATAGGATAGATGTGACACAACGGTAATGCCAGGCAATCCTCTATTCATATCCCATAGGGCACTGCAATGATGTTTGTACAAAATATGCTTTGTAAGGTACCATTTGCAAACTAATAACACACTAGTCATTAATATTGTAAAATGCATATTAAATTTATATGTGAAGTTGTAAATTCCCTCATTATAATATTACTTGAACAGGTTTGAGAAGAGAAACTGGTATAGGTAAAATTGATAAATAAGTCAGAGACAAAGGAATGTGAGTTTACTTCAGTTTACATATCAGCTTTAAACAAAGCTGCAAGCAAGTCCCTGAAGGTCATCATGAGCCCTGAACTCAAGAGACAGAGAATTAATATGGTTTCTGCACCATAGAAAGAGATACTGAATTCCTGGGAGGCCTTCCTAAATTTGAGAAGACAATTCTTTGGGAATATAAGGAAGAGAGACTCCATCTTTATTTTTCACTGGAGAAAGCGCTTTTCTGAAACACCATATATCTCCTTAGTTTGATGCATGCAAAATGTGACACTGTTTCTGTTAAGACATAACGTGTTATAACGTGTTATAACAGGGATCAGCAACCTCTGGCTCTCAAGCCAAATATGGCTCAGTACAGAACCAAATATGAGAAATTAATTCAAAATGTTCAAAAACACATAATTACTCATGTCAAGATGGTCTTTTTTGGTCTATTTCACCTTTAACCAGAGGTGAAAGGAAGGCGGTGCGCCCAGGTAAGAACTGGCTGTGCTCCAGCAAGAGATGGCTGGGGCACTCTGCCTGTTTAAAGGGCTGGCTGACAGTGTGCTGTAGGGGACACATGCACATTCCCAGTTAGGATGGTGAGAGGGGCTGGCAGCAGCAGATGCCTCCATCTGGCTGCAGCGGCCTGGCTCCAGCCTCCATCTGACTGTTTTGGTCTGTCCCCAGTGGCTGTGCCTCCTGGGGCAGCCCCTGCACCCCAGCCCCGACGGCACTGTGACTGCTGCAACGGCTCAGCCACGGCAACTCGGCTTGGGCTCCAGCTGTGCAGCCAGGCCAGTGAGGCCCCAGTCAGAGCCCAGCCTCCATCTGGCAGCAGCATCCCGTCTCCAGCCCCAATCCTGGGGCGGGTCCTGCAGTCCAGCCCCCATTTGGCCACAGAAAGGGATGGTGGCAGCCCCCCTCCTGCTACGGCATAGGTAAGAGGGGATGCCATAATACGGCTGCGGAAATCCTGGCCCAGCCCCTTGTCCAGCCACTTTTGCCCAGGTGCAGCCGCCCAGCCCTGGCCAGGCAAGGTAATCTGGCCCCAGGCTTCCTCTCACCACGTACTCTACTTGCCACCCCCAGCACCTCCCAGACACCCCAACACTCTGCCCCGAATCCTCATACGCCCAACCCCTGACTCCTGCATCCCCACATCCACAAACTGCAGCCCCAGCAGAAGTCCCATTAAATAAAGTCTGTGAATACGGTGTTTCATTTATGCTATTATTAATCATCATGTCAATTATCAATAATATTAATTTGTATATTTTCTGCCATGCATATGGGCATTCTTATACTGGCTCTTTGTTGACACTTGTTCTGAATATTGGTTTAGTTTGGCTGTGGTTTGAAAAGGTTGCCAAGCCCTGTGTTATAGAGTCTTGGGATACCACTAGAGGTCGCTTGTATTTAACAACAAAAGCCTTTTATTTCAAAATAGGAACATATGCTAATATACGAGATTTGCAGGCTATGGAAGGAAGAAAACATTAATTGTATTTCAATTACTTTTCAGAACTTGTACCTCCATCTCCTTATTTCACTCGCTTTTTGAACACAAGAGCTATGAAGGAGACCTTTAAGAGTTACATGGAGTTGCTTGTTAGCATTGCCTTAGATCCAGATACAATGCAAGCCTTGGAAAAGAGCAATGGTACAGTGTGTTTATTTTAAGGTGCACGTGCATTCTTTTATGAATGAAGCAAATGCAAAAACTCTTCTTGTTTTGCAATAGTTCTTTAGCCTACACTTTTTGATGCAAGTAATGTATTCTGTGTAATTTATATTGGTTTCAGGTTGCCCCAAATTCCTGTTTTCCCAGATTCAGCATTCTTTGATACTACATCGGGCAACGTTTTGAGTTTGTACTTGCACTGCAACTAAAAGTTCTAAACAAGGAATTGGCCAGTTTAGAAATACTGCTGCAATAGCATCTTTGACCTCTTTGCTCCAGATTCCAGTTTCATCTCACCATGGCTTTCGTGAGAAATAGATGCCAATATAATTGAGTGGATGAAATACTAATGTATCTGAATTAATTTACCATGATTGTCTTGTTAAAATCCAGATTAGCATTTACTGGAGGAATTTTTTGTTCCATTTGCTTTAAACTAATCCAGAGGAACTTGCCATCTTGTTACATTGGGCTGCTCTCATGTTAGCATCACTAATGAACCTCCTTTTTTTAATCAAGATCGCCATCACCAAACCATTTCAGATGTGCGCCTACTTTTTCATTCAGCGACGTATTTATTACTTTATGAAATTCTGATTTCTGAGCTATGCAGTAATTGGAGTTTGGATTTAGGCTTACGATTGATGTTTGAACACAGATATGTCCAGGTGGTCCTCGAGAACTGCAGTTTGATGGATGTGTTATTTAAATGTCAACATGTTAGAACTATGCACTGTAGTGGGCTATAGCATACAAATTTCACATTGGTTCTGTCTTTTGGAAATTTACCACAGAGAAAGCATTAGACTTGAGGCACTGATAGAAAGCATGGGTTTCACATAGTATGCAGCTGCTGCAACAGGGGGCTCTGTGTTGCTAATTTCAGTTTATCTAGATTTTGAAAGCTGTTACCTGTTTAAGACTCTTCCCTCTCTCTGTGTACATCAAGGGCACAGTCCTGCAACTATTATGTTAGTAGTCCCAATGAAGGCAATGGGACTGCTGATGTGAGTCAAAGCTGTGGGACTGAGCCACAAATTAGCAGCTAATGAACAGTCTTCTCAAGCACTGGTGGCCACTCACCCTGCTCCCTAGGTTCTAACACCTCTTGTGCAATTGTACAACTCTATACAGAATGATAAGCTCTTCTTTGAGGAGTGTCCCTGAGGGCGCTCCGCTGTAGGTTTCTTGGCACCCCTGCACTTACAATCAGAACTTTTTAGTGGTAGTATTCTCCGTGGGTGCCAGTGCGCCTGCGTGGCACTGCCCGCAACATAGAGAATATGTCGACGTGCACACCATCAACCGTCCTTTCAGTTCCTTCTCAACTGCTCCCAGCTTGGTCAGAATACAGAAGCACTCCATATTAGAAGTTAGTTAGTGTAGTAATTAGCGTGTTTGTTAGTCGAATTCACGTGTCCCCCCCCTTCCCACCACCACCATTAGTGTTACTTTAAAAAAAATTCTTTGTAGTTGTTTATAAGATTAGGAATAGGCATGCCAGGCTCACCAGGATTTAAACAGTGCCTGACATGCAGAATGTCTATACCCATTTCCAGTGGGCTCACTCATTGCATTAGGTCAGGGCCAGGATCATTCTCCAAAAAGCTGCCACTACTGAAAAAGCTTTCTTCTAGATCACTCAAAGTGAGGGCACTTCAGTTAAAGTTCCTCATTATGGAGAAAGTGGAGAGACCAGACTCAGAGCCGGCATCGAGCATATCTCCACACCCTATCTCACCAACAGCAGTCTCAGACTAGGGACCACCCGCACCAAGAGACGAATCGACTAAGAAGACAGTGAAGAAAACACTCCTCTCCGTTGGGTGAGAGGCCATCAAAAAAGCTATCCCCTCAGCACAAGCCCTCTTCACCCCAGGTAAGGGCTACTGGGGAGGTGCAGGCACTGGGGAATATGGTATGGACAAACCCCGAGGAGCAGTGTCGTCCAAGGACATGCGCCCTGCAGTCTTAGTACAAAAGACTAAAAGACCGCTCCCATGCTGTCAGTACCAAAAGCATCAGTACCAAAGAAATAGGTACCCAAACCACCACCTCAGGCACTGCCAAAGGGGCAGCCAGAACCAGTGGAACAGACACAAACAAAGTTGGTACCGACGGCATGCACCGAAGGTTCCCTGGTATCCATGACATCGAAGGCATGCGCCGAAGCAGTGCCACAGTGGGTAAAATCTTCCGCACCGACGTTACTGGCCTTCTTTCCTCCAAGATAGCTCACCACACATCAGGAGTTAGTGGATGCATTGGTACCGGGCACTTTGTTATTTAGCACCGATGCCACTCCAACATCAGAGGGCCCAAGCAGACTTGCGATACCCGCAAGTTTGGCACCTCAGTTTTTGAGTGACAATGAGGGTGAGCAAGAGATCCCCTTCTCACCACACCACTCATCACCAAAACTGACCTCTCAGTTGCAACAACAGCAGCTGGTCCAGACTCAGATGTGGCAAGCCTTTCTGTGGCAGAGATGGGATCCCTGGAGCACCATGAAGGCTCAGGTACTACCATCAGTGGTAGTGAGATCACAGCCAGCTGGCACCCAATCCACCTGCATCCACAAGGTCAGAAGTGACACAGGATGACATGAAAGACCTGGATAAAACACAGGAGGAGGATACACTACCTCCATATCATCATCGTCATCCCCAGATGAGTCCATAATGCCCCCATCTCCTGCCATGGGTGATGGTTGCAGGTCTTTCCAAGATCTGTATAAGAGAGTGGCTGATTCCCTCGACATATCACTAGTCAAGGTACCCGACATCCAGCACAAACTGACCAACATATTGCAAGCCTTGCCCTCAGTGAAAATAGCCCTACTGGTCAATGAGGCCATACTCGACCCAGCAAAACTTTTGTGGCAGACACCAGCCTCCATCTCACCCATATCAAGAAGGGCAGACAGACATCCTGGCTAAATGGTCTGAGTTCTTGTTTACACACCCTGTCCCAAATTTGCTGGTAGTCGATGCAGCCAATAATGGGTAAGCAGACCCAGTTTAAATCCACCCCATATGAGAAGAACTGGAAGAGACTCGATCTCCTAGCAAGAAAATCTTACTCTTCAGCATCCTTGCTCATCAGGATAGCAAATTACTCAGCATTACTGGCCAAATACACTTACAACCACTTTAAAAGAATGAGACCCTTTATTGTAAAACTTAAGAGGACTACAAGACCACATTTAAGTCAATCATTGATGAGGGTATCCCCATAGCAAAGACAGTGCTGCAGGCATCCCTTGATATGGCTGACACCGCTTCCAGATCTCTTGCCACATAGGTAGTGAGGTGTCACGTCTCCTGGCTGCACATCTCTGGGTTTCCTAGGGGCGTACAGAAAACAGTTGGGGACCTCCCCTTTGAAGATCAGAAGTTGTTTTCTACCACCACAGATGCCTCACTATGTTCCCTTAACGACCCAAGAGCCACATTAAAAACACTGGGGATGTATGTTCCCCAGCCAAAGAAGAAAATGAACTGTCTGTACACATGGCAGGGCATCATCATAATCATGCTACCCATCTCAGAGGGGCTATGACCTGAGACAACACCAGAGGCAGTAAAATGCTGACAGCCTGAAGAGCAACAGGCCATGGCCCAATCCTCTAACAGCAGACAGATATTTTGAACCATCGGTCCAGGGTTCAACATCGTTTCCACCAGCCTACCAATACAAATTTCAATCTTCAATCATTCTATCATGCATGGTCCACCATGATAACTTGAAAAAAAGGCTCTAGAGGCCAAAGCCAAAGGCCTCACAATACCATTCTTCACGTTTCCCCCAAACCAACCCCCTTCCCCTCCCTCTTCAGGGACAACACTCAAAAGTCAAACCTCACACCATCTCAGTTGGAGTTCATAGGTGCCACTCAACTGCATACAAGCATAGGCACAACTATCTCTGCAAAGATTCCATGCACTAGCCACACTAGAAAAAATCATTATAAACAGCCCCACAGTATATGTCAACACCCCACTCCAGGTTGCACATGCGAACTCTGCAGGCTTGGCTAAACATGTTCTTTTGGCCTCACAGGCACCCATTGCACAAGAGGCTCAGCCCTGCAAGCAAGGTCAGGGAATTCCTCATGTGGTGGCTACATGACAACAAGCTCTGCTTGGTCGTCCTGTTCCAACAGCCAACCCTGTCTATTAACATAACAATGGACACTTCCCTGGAGGGCTGGGGAGCACACACTTGCAAACACAGTACACAGGGAACATAGTTTCCCAAGGAGACAAACCTACGCATCAATGTACTCGAGTTACGAGCAGTAAGAAAAGCATGTGAGCACTTTCTTCCCTTAATTCAGGGTGAAGCAGTGTGAATATACACAAATACCACTTCAACTGAGTCACATATGTTTGTGTTTCACCAGAAACACAAGTGGGAGATTCACCCTCAAGCCCTACATACCGCCTTCCTCAGGTGGGGATTTGTGGAAATAGACTTATTCACCACATCACTCAACACCAAGTGCCCCAGGTATTGTTCCATGGGAGATGCCATGCTGAACAACTGGTCTCTCAACCTTCTATACATTTTTCTGCATCATACACAAGATAAAACTCAACAGAGCCATGATGATCATAACGCCTGTATGGCCCAAACAGACCTGGTTCCCTTACCTGTCACAAATGTCAGTTGCTCCTCTGATTCCTCTTCCATGATGGCTGGACGTAATATAGCAGGACCAGGTGTGAGTTCTTCATCCAGAAGCACTCAAGCTCCATCTTATGGCGTGGCTCCTTCAGGCATGATATCTCAGCATATCATCTGTTCAGAGGGAAGATAAAGGATAATTCTGAGCTGTCCTAAACAAAGCACAAGAAAGACTTAACTTTACAAATGGCGATGTTTCTCCAGGTGGGCCAACCACAGAGCACTCCAGCCTTGAACGGTGCAACCGGTGATGGTCTTAGCCTCATTGCATAGAAAAGACAAAATCTCTCTAACGCATCAATTAAAGTACACTTAGCGGTCATATCAAGTGAGCATGATATTGTGGATGGCCAAACTATATTTTCACACCCAACGCTAAAAAATTCCTGATAGGTCTCAAAAATACCTTTCTGCCAATAAAACCGGTGTTCCCATTTTGGGAGCTCGATCTAGTCCTAAATGCATTGACCATTTAAACCCATGGCAACATGCTCCTTGGCACACCTCTTAATGAAAGTGGCATTCTTAATAGCAATCACAACAGCCAGAAGGGTCAGTGAGCTGGCCACCCTTGGGCTGACCCACCCTTCACGATCTTCCACAAAGACGAAGTCATACTAAAACCATATCCGAAATTCCGACCAAAGATAGTTTCATGCTTTCACCTCAATGAACCTCTATACTTGCCAATTTTTCACCAGAAGCCTCAGCCGGATGTCAGTACGGCAAGACTCCACTCCTTGGACATTAGGTGTGTTATTGCTTTTTACCTAGACCGAAGAAATCAATTTAGGCCATCTCATAGGCTGTTTATTTCAATAGCAGACTTTTGAAATGGATAATGAGCTGCATTAGGGAGTGCTATGACATCAACAAAGTAGCACTCCTTACCTACGGGCACACTCCACTAGAGCGATGGCCACATCTACAGCCTTTCTACATGGCGTACCTATCAGGGACATTTTCAGGGCAGCAACATGGGCCTGCACACACATCTTCACAAAACATTATGCGATAGACACTTACCCTTCACAGCGTACCACATTTGAATCATCAGTCTTCTTGGCGCTCCGCCAAGGAAGTCCAAAGCTTCTCCTTCCAAGGGCTCTGGGAAGTGCCCTCAAAGGAATATAGACAAAAAAATGTGTGAACATGGAAAAAAGAGGAGGTGACTCACCTCAGCAGTTACTGATATTCTTTGAGATAAGTGTCCCTGTGGGCACTCCACGACCCTCCCTCCTCCCCTCTGCTTTGGAGCTTTAACATATCTCCGGGGTAGAGATTGAACTAAAAGGATCATTGACGGCATACGTGTGTTGGCACATTCACTGGCACTGGTACCCTGGGTGAATACTGCTGCTAAAACGTTCCAATTATAAGCACAGGGACATCAAGACACCTATAGTGGTGCGCCCACAGGGACACCCATCTCAAAGAAAACCAGTAACTGCACAAGGTGAGTAACCTCTCTTTTTTTGGCAGCCTCACTAATAGGCAAGTCACTAATAAATCCAAGCTGGACCAGGTAACATGACAGTCAGTTTCAGCTAAGAGGAACCTGTCTCTGGATTGTAAATTGTCTTGCATGACAGGAAGAGATTTAGAGAACAATTTGAAGTTGTGTGTAAGATTTATTCGGTACACTGTCATCTCTGTTTCCTTTTTGAACTTTTCATCACAAAGAAAAGAACAGAATAACAGTTACATTTAGCTGTTGGACTGGATAATATGGTATACTGGGCTTTGCATATTTGCTCTGTTGTAGAATCAAGTATTGAGTTTTGCATCTTAGCCTGTAAATCTTAATAAGTAATTTTCCTTTCTTATTTAAAGGTAGGATACATGAACAAAATGTACTAGTTTGGACTTTGATTATTTTATGCTAATAAATAGCGTAAGGGAGTAAACTAGCTGTAAGGGATTAATCTGTACTTAATTATTATGTATTTTTTCATGTCTTTTAGATGAGCTCCTTTTGCCTCATATGAAAAAAATTGATGGCATGCTGAATGACAACAGGAAAAGACTGCTTTCCAAATTACATTTGGAGCATACATTCAAGGTATTTTCTTTTAAAATTTCAGATTTAAAATAAACAAGTCACTAATTATATACAAGTGTCCAATGAAAAGATGAAAGGTGTAACAGGAATGGAATGTGGGGTTTGAAAGAGATTTTGAATTGAGTGTTAATATATTCCACTTAGCGAACATTTTGTGGTAGAAATGTTTCTTGGGGAGTGCTTAAAGTCCAGTTTTACTTCCCAAACTTAGTATTTATTTTAAAGCATTTTCTCTTCTAAGCTTCTGAAATTCTTCATCGAAAAATCAAACTGCTGCCACTTTGGAGCTCAAACAATACCTGTATTTCTGTCCATGATTCATCCCAGCTCTTCAGCTGGGGTGAGGTGGAGAGAGCAGCAGCAGGGCTCCCTAGAGCCAGAGATGAGGAATCAGGCTGAAGAAACAGGAAAGCACTCTTTCACAGCCACAGCCCCAAGTTAAGAGATGTGAGCAAAATGGATCAGACAACCGCAGAATGTGTCACCCTTCAGAACAGGGAAGTGAATGGTTTACCAGGTAATAGTTAAACGCTACCCAGGAGTAGCCCACTTTCTACCCCCAGCCTGGCTTCCACTTCCAGCCCCATGCGAGGCTGCTGACTCCCAGCTTGTTCAGGCTGGGAGCCTGCAGTCCAGTGCAGGGCTGAAAGCATCCTCTACCTGCAATGCGGGGCCCCCAGCTTGTCCCCATTTAATCAGTTGACCAGTTAAACATTAAGTTAAACTAATTAAACAGGAAGTTATATCCCTAAATAAGACAGTCCCACTTCCTTTGTTGTACACTCGGTGATTCAGCAGAGCATCACTGGGTGAAATCTGGTGACCTGTATTACAGATTGTGTAAGACTAGACAATCATAACAATCTCTTTTGGCCTCAAAATCTATGACTAAAGAAGCACTGTAGCAGCCCTCAGTAAGGGAGATGAAATCCTGGGCAGGCAGTTTCCAGCATCAGTGAAATTGGCTGCAGCTGTCCTTCCCTACTTGTTTAAATATGCTCCTGCCCACAGGACTGAGGCATTTTTTTGGAGAGTTGTTTGTTTCATCTCTACCATCTGCCTGCCTCTGGGGGCAAGTGCATGTGCATCTGCATGAGGAAGAGGGCAAGGATAAACATGAATGTCATTTCTACCCCCTTATGCAGAAAATGATAGGGAGATGTTTATTCCCTAGCAGATTCCCCTGCCCATCAGGGCTTCTGTTCCGGGGGGAAAGCACTGCTGGCCACTCTGGATTGATGTAAATCTCTCTCTCTCTCTCTCTCTCTCTCTCTCTCTCTTTTTCCTGTGGGCCAACAGAGTAACACCATCACATCATCAGTGTCCACATGCCACTGCCAGCCTCTGTCCTCAGCCACTTTCTGTGGCCATTCTAGGCACCATCCCCTCTGGGCATGGACTGCTCCAGCTCCTGCTTCACACCCCGAGGGTCTGTGCAGCCAGGGAGGAGCTGCTGGTGCTGGGTCTCTTTCACCATCCAAGACTGAATCCTCTTCCTGGGCCGCACCAGATCCCCATCAGCATCCGAGCTCTACCCCACCCCGCCCCAGGCAATGCTGGGTCCCCTCAGCCATCAAAGCCCCCAATGTGTGCCTGCTTATTCATTGGTATGTGTAGCGTTGGCATGCCCCAGGGGGCTGTCTGCTGGCAGCACGATGCAGTCCCAGTCTTTTTAGTCACTCTTCACACACAACCTTTCTTGGTCTCTAATTTTTTTCACTGCCTGCCTTGCAAAACTCATGTCTGCTACATCTTTTTGGAGGTGGGGTGACCAAAAGTGAACACCGCCAGCACTGCAGATGAGAGCAAACTCTTAACTTACAGGCACAAAATGAGCTCAAACTAGCTACGGGAATAAAGGGAAACAAGAAGACTTTTTATAAATACATTAGAAGCAAGAGGAAGACCAAGGACAGGGTAGGCTCACTGGTCAGTGAGGAGGGAGAAACAGTAACAGGAAACTTGGAAATGGCAGAGATGCTTTATGCCTTCTTGGTTTCGGTCTTCACCGAGAAGTCTGAAGGAATGCCTAACATAGCGAAGGATAGTGGGAAGGGGATAGGTTTAGAAGATAAAATAAAGAACAAGTTAAAAATCACCTAGAAAAGTTGGATGCCTGCAAGTCACCAGGGCCTGATGAAATGATTCCTAGAATACTCAAGGAGCTGAGAGAGGAGGTATCTGAGCCTCTAGCTATCATTTTTGGAAAATCATGGGAGACAGGAGAGATTCCAGAAGACTGGAAAAGGGCAAATATAGTGCCCATTTATAAAAAGGGAAATAAGAACAACCCAGTTAGTTTAACTTCTGTGGCAGGGAAGATAATGGAGCAAGTAATTAAGGAAATCATCTGTAAACACTTGGAAGGTGGCAAGATGATAGGGAGCAGCCAGCATGGATTTGTAAAGAACAAATCATGTCAAACCAATCTGATAGCTTTCTTTGATAGGATGAGAGTCTTGTGGATAAGGGAGAAGTGGTGGATGTGGTATACCTAGACTTTAGTAAGGTGTTTGATATAGTCTTGCATGATATTCTTATCAATAAACTAGGCAAATACAAATTAGATGGGGCTACTATAAGGTGGGTGCATAACTGGCTGGATAACTGTACTCAGAGAGTAGTTATTAATGGTTCACAATCCTGCTGGAAAGGCATAATAAGTGGGGTTCCGCAGGGGTCTGTTTTGGGACTGGCTCTGTTCAATATCTTCAACAACAATTTAGATATTGGCATAGAAAGTACGCTTATTAAGTTTGCAGATGATACCAAGCTGGGAGGGGTTGCGACTAATCTGGAGGATAGGGTCGTAATTCAAAATTATCTGGACAAATTGGAGAAATGATCTGAGGTAAACAGGATGAAGTTTAATAAAGACAAATGCAAAGTTCTCCACTTACGAAGGATCAATCAGTTTCACACATACGGAATGGGAAGCGACTGTCTAGGAAGGAGTACGGCAGAAAGGGATCTAGGGGTTATAGTGGACCACAAGCTGAATATGAGTCAGCAGTGTAATGCTGTTGCAAAAAAAGGAGACGTGATTCTGGGATGTATTAACAGGTGAGTTGTGAGCAAGACACGAGAAGTCATTCTTCTGCTCTACTCTGCACTTAGTTAAGCCTAAGTTGGAGTATTGTGTCCAGTTCTGGGCACAGCATTTCAAAAAAAAAAATGGAGAAATTGGGAGAGGGTCCAGAGAAGAGCAACAAGAATGATTAAAGGTCTAGAGAACATGCCCTGTGAAGGAAGGCTGAAAGAATTGGGTTTGTTTAGTTTAGAAAAGAGAAGACTAAGGGGGGACATGATAGCTGTTTTCAGGTATCTAAAAGGGTGTCATAAGGAGGAGGGAGAAAACTTGTTCATTTTGGCCTCTGAGGATAGAACAAGAAGCAATGGGTTTAAACTGCAACAAGGGAGGTTTAGGTTGGACATTAGGAAAAAGTTCCTAACTGTCAGGGTAGTCGAACACTGGAATAAATTTTCCCGGGAGGCTGTGGAATCTCCATCTCTGGAGATGTTTAAGAGTAGGTTAGATAAATGTCTATCAGGGATGGTCTAGATAGTATTTGGTCCTGCCATGAGGGCAGTGGACTGGACTCGATGACCACTCGAGGTTCCTTCCAGTCCTAGTATTCTGTGATTCTACAGAAGCTTCAGGGGGTAGCCAAGTTAGTCTGTACAGGATAAACTTAAAAAACAGCAAATGTGATAGCACTTTAAAGACTAACAAAACGTGTTGATGGTATTATGAGCTTTCGTAGGCACCGTGCACTTCTGCTGGTCATCCAAAGACTATCTGTTGTCTTTTTAATTTCATCTCAACTTACAGAATGGCATGAAAATTAAGGTTCTCAATTAATCATAGTTAATTCAAGCAATTAATGCAGAACAAATTGGCTAGATTTTAAAAAGCAGCAGTAGGCTGTTCCTGAGCTATAGTGCTAGGAGCTGCGCAAAAGTACATTAGTGACCCCCACCCGCACAAGCCAAGACCCTGCAGCCCCAGTCCCCTCACTCGTTGCCCTGCCAAGACCCCACACCTCAACGCTGCTCACTTACACCCTCTGTTGAGATCTCACACACCACCCTGTTGACACTCTACACCACCACCACACTCACTCAACCCCTCCGCCAAGACCTCCTCACCCCACTAACCCTTAGCTGATATCCCACACTCCAGCCCACTCACTTGTACCCTCAAGCTGACGCCACGCACCCCCAGGCCCCTCACCCTTTCTGCCCAGACCCCATGCTCCCAGCCCACTTCTGCCCCTCCCCTCTGACCAGATACCTACCCCCAGAGAGAGGGGGATTGGCAAGCATAGCAAGCAGGGGGCACAGCCCCCTAGTAACCATTTTAATCTTCTTTTGTATTTGCACTTTCCAATCAGTTTCCTAAAGAAAGGTTGATTTGCATTGGTAGGTAACCATTAAAACATGTTGATTTACATCTGTGTATTTCTTCTTTTTTGCTAACCAGGAGATTCACTGTAGCTATACACCTTTATTTAAGACATTATATGGCTTTATTTAGATTCTTAGTTTTCACTTTTGTATTGTGTTAGAATGGTGCATTAGATGATGGAGATTTTTTTAAACTCTTGATTTTGTCATGCTTTGGAGAAATTCGGGGGGGGGGGTTCAAATGCAAAAACTCACCATTTGAAATTGTTTTTGTTAGCTAAATAAGAATTAATTACCATATAATATGTTTTTGTCAAACTATACCTATAACAAGTAAAAAATTAAAACTGATTTATACAAATAATATTATCTGCAATTAGTGAATTGAACTAATTGTTTCTGGTCACTATGTCCATCAATACTTTAGAACAAAGAGATATATTATCCTTTCTCAACCAGTTTTATGCATCAGTTTGAAGATGAAAATTAGCTTTTCAGCTATTTTATCTCCGAATCTGTTTCTTAACTTTGAAAAAACAGTTCTTGCACTGAACTGATTAAATAAACCAAAAATAAGTAACATGCATGTGCAGAAGTGGCTACTGCTAACAAATACTAGCTTGACATTTCATCAGACTTTGGTTCCAGATGCTTAGCCAGTGATTTTGCTTTTCAATACTTTGACTCGCTTTAAAATTTTTGCAGCAAATATATGCTGCTAAACTCTGTTTTTAGTTTAATATAAATTAATCTAATAGATTTTGGTAAATTTAAGCCTTAACACAGACTGTCATAATTTCAGATTTCATTTAAATAAGTTTATATTTTAAAAGATAAATATATTTAATTTAATTTAATTTTTGTTTAAAGTAGATAACTTTTTAATTGATTTTTATCCACTTTGTTTTAGGCACCAGTCCTTTTAGTCTTTTTTCATTAATGTAAGACTTTGGGATAGGGGGTTAATTTTTCCCCCTGTCTCATCACTGCTGAAAAGCTGTTCTCTGCAGAAGCAATAGTTCTGGTTTCCAGATTTTCAGTAACTGTCTTTGGCTCCCTTGTGGCAACAGCAAATCTCCTTGGAAGGTGTCTAAATATTTCATAATACATATAAACTGTTTAGCTGACTTTGAGCCTGCATTTTTATTGTTTTTTATGGTGAGAGTTAGGGACATAAAGTCAATTGATTCCCGCTGTGCTAATACTTCTGTAGCTGATCATTACATTCCATGAGAAGAAAAGCATTCTTAGCATATAGAAGAATATCATCACTGTATATAATTATATTCATTTACTTACTATAGCATGTTACAAATTCCAACTGTCTGAAGAAGCTTATGCTTCCTACTCACCCAATAAAAGAAAATAAATTATGTCTCTTAAATCAGATAACATAAGCCCAGTCCAACTGTCTGATCTGCATGGAAGTAAATGGGGCTCCAGGTAAGAGCAGAGATCAGTTCACATGGATCAGCTTGCAGGATCAGGACATATATTTGTAAAATGGTTGTCTAGTACAGAATATAAATCCACATCATTTTGTGTTAGTAACTCTGTAGGAATGAAAGGCTAATTTCCTATCATCAACATCTGTACTGGTTTCATACCAAATAGCTTACGTACTTTTTAAATCCAGTTTAATCCGTTATTTAGAACAAGAAAGCTTGTTTCTATAATAATGTTGATAAAAATTAGATTAATATGTGTTAAAAAATTCAAATTAAGCATCCAGCTAGTAAAAGATTAAAATACTTGAAATACTCATTAGCACAATTCATTTCCTAAATATTTTAATACTTTGTACTAATAACTGTACAGTAATGATATAGCGTATTACTTAAAACTGAAATGGACAATATGGGATATTTCAATATAGAATTGCAAATCGAATCATACAGTAAAATCACCAATCAGTGATCCAGTCAGCCACTTTGTCTGTAGACTTTTCTGCGTAGTTCTAACAGATATAAAACCCCACACTGTCTGGTTATTATTTCAGTAAATAAAATTAAACTATTCTTTCTGTTTCAGGTGAGCATCCATGTTAGTTTTTTTCAGCATGAACAATGAGGAGTTGTATGGCACTTTAAAGACTAACAAATGTATCTGGGCATAAGCTTTCATGGCTGGAGCCAGTCTTTAGTTCTGAAGCAAATCCACCAACTACATATCCCACAACTAACTCAGGAACTCTGCAACAAACCCCATTGCCAACTCTGTCTGCATATCTACTATAGTCATATCATCATAGGACTAACCACTTCAGACACACCATCAGGGGCTTGTTCACCTGCCCATCTGCTAACGTGATATATGCTACCTTGGGCCAGGAATGCTCCTCTGCCATGCACATTGGCCAAACTGACTGTGTCTGTGCAAAAGAATAAATTAACACAAATCAAACATTGAGAATGGTAGCCTTCAAAAACCAGATGCCATACTTGAACAAAAAAAACCTTCAAAAACAGACTACAGCATGACCCTGCAGAGCTGGAATTCAGATACAAACATGACACTATCAAACTGGATGTGAATAGACACTAGGAGTAGCTAGCTCACTGCAAAAAGTAATTGTTCCCTTGTTTGGTATTCGCACCTTCTCATCAATGGTTGGGCTTGGACCACGCCAACTCTGACTGAATTATCCTCATTGGTTGTCTTTAAGGTGCCACAGGACTCCTTGTTGTTCTTTCTGAGTTAATTTCTTCTCTGTAAATTAACTCTGTCTTTTGGATGCAGCTGACCAGTGTATGTGTACTTAAATAAATTAGACTTCCTACAAATGTTGTTCAGAATAGCACTGTTAGTTAACATCAGTTGTGCTTCATTTCTTGGAATTTTCATCTTCTATAAAATACTCACCATTCAAAGCTGTTTGGCTCTCTCCATTGAGTAAGTCTGATTTACAGCTTATCCTTTTGACCCACTGGAACATGGAAATGACTAGTATTTTCCTCCTCCTCCTCCCAATTCAAAACTAGTCCTCTTTTGGGTGAGTGCTCTTCTTTGAAGTCTGTTCTACTCCATAGGAATAGACAGTAATATTGAGCCAGTGATGGATGAGGCAGAACTTCCTGGCAAAAGACAGAAATTCACAGAATGCAGTGAAACTCTACAGTGAATCCAATAACAGGTAGAAAATTAAACTCACGGAGGAAAAAAACAATCTGCTGGAGTTATTTTTCATAACTTGAAGACTGCTGCTATAACTAGTCTACATTTTGGCCCCTTCAGCTTATTAGTATCAAATTTCATCTGGTTGATGATGTTGTTTTTTTTTCTTTTTGGCAAATGGATTTTTAGTCCCCCCCTGAGATTGTTACTAAGGGGAAAATAACTGATCTGTGTAAAACAGCCTGTAAACTGTAGGAGTCTGGAAAGGAGAGTCTTTGAATCTTTGAATTCTGTAACTATTTATTCAAAAGTGTGTCTTATCTGTAGACTAAAGAGGGCCATTAGTTTTATTCTAACATTTTAACCCCTTAATTTCTTCATCAGTAAGTCCAAATATAAGATTAAATCTTTCCTGTAATTTTTTATAGTCACTTTTTCCTGAACAATGTAGTAATTTATGCAAGTAGAGGAATACAGTCAGCTAAACAAATACATTCTCTCTGGATGAAAGATATTACATAACACAATGGAACTTGTAAAAACAATTATTAAAATTATTCTGCACTTTTGCATTTAGTAAAAGTAAAATTACACACTGTTTAGCGTGTGTGTGTGTGAGAGAGCAATGATCTCATGTTTTGCTGGAGATGTGTAGCTGTGTCTGTAGCAAAAATGATGACAGCTAATGCCATTGTTTCATAGAATCATAGAACTGGAAGAGACCTCAGAAGGTCATAAAGTCCAGCCCCCTGCTCTAGGCAGGACCAATTCCAACTAAATCAACCCGGCCAGGGCTTTGTCAAGCCGAGACTTAAACCCCTCTAGGGATGGAGACTCCACTACTTCCCTAGGTAACCCATTCCAGTGCTTCACCACCCTCCTAGTGAAATAGTTTTTCCTAATATCCAACCTGGACCTCTCCCACCACAACTTGAGACCATTGCTCCTTGTTCTGCCATCTGTCACTACTGAGAACAGCCTCTCTCCATCCTCTTTGGACCCTCCCTTCAGGAAGTTGAAGGCTGCTATCAAATCCCCCCTCACTCTTCGCTTCTGCAGACTAAACAGACCCAAGTCCCTCAGCCTCTCCTCATAAGTCATATGCTCCAGCCCCCTAATCATTTTGGTTGCCCTCCGCTGGACCCTCTCCAATGCGTCCACATCCTTTTTGTAGTGGGGGGCCCAGAACTGGACACAATACTCCAGATGCGGCCTCACCAAAGCCGAATAAAGGGGAATGATGACATCTCTAGATCTGCTGGCAATGCTCCTCTTAATGCAACCTAATATGTCATTAGCCTTCTTGGCTATAAGGGCACACTGTTGACTCATATCTAGCTTCTCATCCACTGTAACCCCCAGGTCCTTTTCTGCAGAACTACTACTTAACCGGTTAAGTCAAATGTAGTGGCAAGTTCATGTGTAATTCTATACATTCAAACATTTTTCAGAAGATGAACTGTAGATTCTCTTTCCCCATGTAATTCACCAACTTTGCCAGCATAACTATGTCAGCTAGGCGTGTAGATGCACCTATGCCAGCAGAAAAAGTCTTATTTTGGCATAGCTAATGTCATTCAAGGGTAGATGTGTGCCAGCTGAACACCTTTTGGTGGTTTATACAGTGTTGGGGCTCCTGTTGAAATATTGCTATGCCAGCAAGGGATCTCAAAGAATGAGTACTAGTTTGGGAGCTGGGCTCGCTAACTTCTTATCCTGTCTGCGTCACTTATAATATGTCCTTGGCCAAGTTACTTCACCTCTCTGAACTTAGCTTTCCATCTGCAAAATGTGACTATTAATTCATCTACTTTTCAGCCTTAAGGTTCTCTTAAATCAAGATAAGTGCCTGCATTAAGGGATGCACCGATTTAATTGTAAATAAGTTTACAAACTGTTTTAAAATTAGTATAATTTTCTGGTATAGAAGGCCTTAAGTGTTAATTTAACATTGCAGTGATTCGATCTTTTAGATAAAATTTCTGCGTTAGGTTAGTTATTTCAGGAATCCAAAGCCTGCTGTATGCATTCCTGTCACATGCTCCAACTAAAGGAGCAGCAACATTTGTGGAAAGGAGCTTGCATTTTTCAAGCCAGACAGTGTTGCCAGCAGTCATGATTTCATCTTAACTCTTGCTGTATTAGATATTTTTCTTAAAGCGCCAGATTCCGGATTCATGTGATTATGTAAAAAATCTCAGCTTTCATTTTAAAAAACTATTTCTAGTCCTTGTGTTTGCAGAGAGAAGTCTTTGAAAACATGATTCCTAAAATATATCCGAAGGCAACTAAAAATAAATAAAAATAAATTATTTTTTTAAATTGCTAATTGCATGTGTTTTGGGTGCCTTACTTCTGGTTTTTGAACATGTGGTATTGGCAGAACTGCAATAAGGGCCTGAAGTATGCTTTCAAAAGGATTCTTAATTAACGAGATGACATGTAGCTAAGGAGAGCTTCTGTACTTCACTGCTCATATAATCCTTTGCATTCCTATGTAATGGAAATGAATTATAGGAATTTTGTTTGGTTTGTTTTAGGAATTGAATGAAGGGACCTCCTAAAGCATATTACAAAAAAGGGAACTGAAAGGCCCATGAGAAAACTGCTACATGTAATATAGAGATGTTAACATATAGTTGTGTATACAGTTAACCAATAAGCCTGGACTTATCGGTTAATCCTAACAACTACACACACTGTCAGAGGCAGCAAGGGGGGAAAGGCAGGAGCCATTGCCCATGAGGAGCCAGCTTTTAAGCTAGCTCCCCACGAGTACTGGATCTCTCTGAGCTACCTGCCCCCATCATTCCCGTGCTGCTGCCTATGATAAACCCTCTCTTATTAGAGGCAGCAGCTTGGGAGGTGGAGCAGGCTGAAGCCAGGATGCCTGGAGAGCCGGCTTTTAAGCCCACTCTTCATGTGGGCCCTATCCAGAGGGAGCTTGGGCCCCCCGCAGACAGGGGCCGCTGCCGCAGAGCACAGTCTCTGTCCACAGCAGGCCCAGTCCTCTGTAAAAATGGGGTGGACAGATCCTTACTTAAAAAAAGAACCAGAACAAAACACCATGCAATATATTATTTATGTGTCGTGTAAAGTTTCAGGGTTCGGTTTGGTTTTTTATGATGGATGTAGCTTACCACTTCACCTGGAAATCAAATTTTATTATTAATAAAAATATAATCTGTCTGAAAAAAATATTGGAACCCATAGAATTAGTTGGGTATCAATAATTAGAGTTGCTCCCAATGCTGCTAATTGACTTGGGAAGGAGGGGAAAGAAGGCACCTCCAAATCTTAATTAGGATTTTCAGGAGAGGGGTTTTTCCTTTAAAGAAGCTTAGATCAAGGAAAGGACAGCAGGTGGTTTGACAATAGAGGATATATCTCATTCTTTTAACTGTGTAGCTACTGCATATCCTTCTTTAATCCTAAATATTTTGAGGGCTTGCTCTTTATTGCCCTCCCCCATTCCAATTTTCTAGTAACAGCAAGTGCTTTGTCTTTGTTTCCCTCTGTGACTTGTTATTTTTTCATTCATGTATACCCTCTGACTAACCAATGTATTCATTTAAAACTTTTTAAATTGTAAGTCCTCAAAATTGCATTACATTTTTGAACAGATATCAAAGTTCAGATTTTGGTGTGCTTATGAGATGGGGGGGTTAAACAAAGACATCCCTTGATGACATTTTCAGTTGAAAATAAACGAGGTGCCCACATTTTAAAACATTTCCACTATTCAAGCTGTTCTTTCAGTGAGATTAAATTCTGTCAATAGATTACTTTGTATCTTGGGAGCAAATGGAGAATTTATTTTTATTAATTTAAAGTACCTTTATTACAAAGCAGTAATGTTAAGAACCATGCAAGTTTATCCTTCATTAATGGCATACACTGTTATCTAAACCCGAAAAGTTTATTTTTGAAGTTATTGTTGAGTATTGTTAATTTGTTAATGAGATTGAGTGTGTTTTCTGAGTAATGTCGAGAAAATAGGCAGTAGTCTAAGAGCTAAAACACAAGACTAACTGTCAGAAGTCTGGGTTTCATTTCTTACTCTTATAGACTGTGTGAAATGGAGGTGCTTTGCTGGAAGACATACCTTTATTTCAATTTCCCCATCTGTAAAATAAAGATAATGTGTCTGTCCCTGCTTCATAGATGTAATGAGGCCTAAATCATAGATATTTCTAAAATGTTTACAGATTCTTGGATGGAAGGAGCAGTAAAATGCAAAGTAAAATAAAGAATTGCAAGCAATCTTACTAGCCTGCTGGATTCCTGGCTAGTTGTTGTGTTTTTTTTAATGAAGGAACCAAAGATGACACCTGTTCTCTCTGAAAGTACCTGATTCTCTTGAGACGTGATGTTTAAAGTCAATCAAAACAAGTCACTTTTGTGTTTATGTCTGTGTGTGTTCTTATCTTGCTTTCTCATAGTTGATTGACTACGACTTTGACCATATTGGCAATTGAGCAACAAAGCTTATTGTCATTCACGGGTGACAATTTTTGTCAGCAGTAGCTGCCAACAGTGTTTATGCTGCCTGAGTTTGACATGGCTGCGTCCACACACCCTGAGTGAGGTTTTTAGAGTTGTGTGTAAAATGTATTATGATTGGGTGCTTTCAGTATTTTAATTTGTCTGAAAATAATGGTCAGTTTTCCAGCAATCTGATTGATTGATCTTTTGGAAGAATTTTTGGATAATTCAAACTCTCTTTTGCTTTTATGCTCTGTTTAAGAGTGCTTTGGAAAACTTTCCTGAACTGACAGTAATCACTCGTGATTCTAAAACAAAAAGTGGAGGAGTTGCTCTTTCTAAAATCAAAATGAATGGTAAAGCTTACAACAAGAAAACACTGAGGGCTTCTAAATCAACCACTAAGTTAACACAGGTAAGTATTCAAATGGTTCCTAACACAATAGTAAAAACAAAACAAATTAAAGGATTGTGTTTTGTTGCTAATTAGTTTTTCTGTAAATTTACCAAGAAATTAAAATTTTAAATATATTTCATAATTAAGTAATTCTGAAAATAATAAATGATTTAATATGATGTAGATTAAAAATTCGTCTTGGTGGTATGTTTCTTTTCATTCTTAAACTATTATAGGTATAGTATTGATAGGTGTCCGGTTTTCAACAAAAATTCTTGGCTTCTGGGAAGCTGCTGGCATGTCCTTCCAACTTCTACATATAGGGACTGTCATAGGAGCTCTGGGCACTGCCTCTGCCCTGAACACCGACTCGACAACTCCCATTGGAGCAGCATGGAGCTCCCTGGCTGCACCTTTGCCTAGGAGCTAGAGGGACATGTTGCCGCTTCCTGGTAATTGCCTGAGGTTAGCACCATCAGGAGCCTGCACCCTCAACCCCCTCCCCCCCCGCCCATGACTCTGCTCCAGCACAGAGCCCTCTCCTGCATCATAAATTCATCTGTCCTAGTCCTACCCCAGAGCCCTGATCCCCAGCTGAAGCCCTCACTCCTTCCTGCACTCCAACCCCAGCCCAGAGCCCCCTCACATACCCTGAACCTCTCAATTCTGACCTCACCTTGGAGCCTGCACCCCCAGTCTAGAGCTCTCAATTCTGCCTCCAACCGCCTGCCTCAGCCTGGAGCTTCCTCCTGCATCACATCCTCTCAGTCTCAGCCCAAAGCTCCCCAAACTTGAATCCCTTATTTCTGGCTCCCCAGCTGGAGCCCTTACCCACTTCCAC